TCCAGGCAGGGCTTCTCTGTGTAACCTTGGCTGTCCTGGAACTTGCTCTGTAGGCCAGGCTCAAGCTGGCCCAGAACTCACAGAGATCCACCTGCCTCTGCCTCCCTGCGTGCTGGGATTAAAACCAAGTGCCACCACCACCTGGCTATCAACTTAAATATTACTGAATAAAAACAATTATAAAGGGAGCTGGTGTGTGGTGGTGGATACCTCTGACCCCAACACTCTGCATTGGAGGACTGTGGTCTACAATAGCAAGTTCCAGGCCAGCCAGAGCTATATAAAAATTATAAAGGGGGCTGGGGAAAGGCTTAGAGGGTCAAGGGCTTGTGTGTCAGTGTGAGGACCTGAGTGTGGATTCCCAGAACCCACACTGTGACCACACTCAGCATTAATATCAGTTCTGGGTGATCTCAGGGCCTGGAAGACAGAAGCATGGAATCCCTGGAGCAAGCTGGCTAGTTGACTGGCCAAAACAGCAGCTTCCACCGGGATCTATAAAGTGGAGGGTGGTCAAGGAAGACACCCAGTGTCAACCTCAGGCCTCCAGTCACGTGGACACACGCATGCACACGTACACACATGCAAGCGTGCACACAGACACACACCACACACACACAGGCAAAGAATATTTTGAAGGAAAAACTGCTTCAACAAAGCATGTACGGACTGTGTAGAACACTCTGTAGCCAGTGTAAAGACAAGACCTGACTGTGACATCTCTTCCTCAGGCACTAAAAGAAGAGATCAAGGGGATGCACGGCCTTCGGATATTTACCTCTGTCCCCAAGTGCTGACGGCGCCCCAGCCACGTGACTGCTGATGCTGGAAACCTCGAGTGCGCTTCGAGCTCAGCCATCTTCCAGGAAAATCCCTGCCAAAAAATGTATCTATTTTTGTTCATAGACATTTATGTATTATAATTATAGGAGATGTGTTATCTATCTAGAGGTTAATTAAAGACCACAGATGCCTACTGCTCACAGCAGGCGCGAGTCCTGCTTCAGGCCCCGCCTCTCAGAAGTGCATCCTTTGTTTGCCATGGTCCATCTCTTCATGGTTCCTCCTGCTACCGGACACAGAGTAGAGGCCGCTGAGTTTTGGTTGTTTTTGTTTGAGACAGGGCTCTGGCTGGCCTGGAACTATTAGATCAGGCTAGCTTGAACTAACAGATGGGCCTGCCTCTGCCTCCCTGCTGCTTGGATGAAAGGCATGTCACCACGCCCGACCCCAGATTTTTTGGTTCTGTGAAGAAGGGTTAAGAACTTTTCCCTCCCCTACTACTTCTCCAAGAATGACGAGGAAGCCCTGGCTCGTCATGCTCTGGAGAGGAGCTGAGGAACGGCATGCCTAGCCCGGGGTTTGAAGGCCCCCAGTCTCTGCGTCGGGCAGGCGGTGAGTTGGCCAGGATCTGCGCTCTCGGCCAGGCTTGCCAGCCACACATGCTCACCCTGGACTCTGGGAGTGAGTGACTTGAGAAGCTGGGGCAGCCATCCTGGACACCAGGGCTACGAAGTCTGGTGTTCTGCGTGGAAGTTCCCATGCCACAAAACCAAAGTTGACTTCACGTTGACTTCACCTTGCCAATCTTCCCAGTCATACCCTAATACCAAATCCGGACCCCCCCCCCCCCCCGGGTGTCCTCAAGCTGTTACAGTTAGCCCACATTAGATCCTGGCACTGGCTATGGACCACTCACAGACACCTTGTCCCCATGGGCAGGGGTGTGCTGGAACAGGACCACAGCAGAGCCCTCCAAAGCTGGGGCCCAGACAGTTTGTCACACTAAATTTGGAAGGATAAGTTCTTATGTGCCACACACAGGGCAGATGCCCAGAACACCTCTAGACTCAGCTGGTAAGTGCCTGTCGCCAAGCCTGAGTTCTGTCCCCAGTACTCACAGCAGAAGGAAAGAACCAGCGTGTGTCACTTTTCTCTGTCCTCCACGTGTGCGCCGTGGCACCGTGTGAGTGCGCACACACACCACACTAGGTGTGGTGGCACGTGTCTTTAATCCCATCACTTCGGGGGCAGAGGCAGATGAATCTCCGAGTTCAAGGCTAGCCTGGTGTACATAGTCAATTCCAGAAGAGCCAGGGCTTTGTGGAGAGACCCTGCCTCAAAAAAAGAAAAAGCTATTCGCTGGGGGTGTGGGGGCTGGGCGGGCGGGCAGAAGCCACACTGAAGGTGCTGACGAGTCCTGCAGGGAGCCCCGGGTTTGCAGCAGGCACTGACCGTCCCTTTAGGAAGAGTCAGAATTCAGAGCTAAGGCACGGAGTTGGCCACTGAATCTGAACCCTGGGGAGCCAGCTTCTGGAAACATAAGAATAAAGCAGGTCCTGGGGCTGGGGGTCAGTCACCCCGCAGCCTCTGCTGTCCATCCTGGATCCAGATCCAGCTCTGGCACACAGCCACGGAGCACCATGCAGCAGCCCAGAGTCACCAGGGAGACCAGGGCAAGACACGACGACGACGACTTTGTACAGCCTTGGTACCGGCAGGCACACTCGAGGCCAGGCAGCCAAAGGGTCTCGGAGGGAAGGCCTGCAGGGTGTCCACTGTTTGGACACAGCAACCCCATGCTGTGACCTATAAACTTCACCCTCGAGAACCATGGGCTGGGTCATAAGAAAATTGCTGCGCCCGGGAGGTGGCTCGGCAGGCGCTAGCCGGCCACCGAGCCTGATGGTCCAACACCTGTGCTGGATCCCCACAACTCACACGGTGGAAGGGAAAAACTCCTGGAAGTGAGCCTCTAACCTTTACACACTCAACCATGGCACACATCTCTCCCAGTGCCCCCTCCCCCCACCGCCCACCCCAAATATAATAAAGGGGGGGAAAAAAGGAAAAATTTCAAAAAGCCTGTCATGATTTAAATCCATGACTTCGGGTCACATTTAGGGATGCATGTGGCCCACAGGCTGTGGGTTGCCCGTGTCTGGTAGGCAGTGTTGTGAAGTGATTCTCTTGGGGTGATCAGAAGACTGCAGTCCTGAGACTTTGAAGGCTACCAGCCATGGACCCCAGGACCAGAGGGTTTGGGGGGAGTGTAGTCCTTCAGGGAAATCGGTGAGGACCAGGTTCCCCGGCCTGCCTGAAGATAGCTCTTTGGAAAAACAAGAGCTCAGGTGAGTGAATGGTGTACAAACTGAAGCCCAAGTCACCTCTACCTGCAGAAGTGTGACAGGGCACGGGACACATGGTACACACCAAGAGAGAGAGGGTGACACCGGGGCAGGGGTCAGTGCGGCAGAGTAAGGTGGCGTGGAGGCGGGGACTCCTTGGCTAGGGCAGGGCTTTGCTGTGGCGGGAAACGGGGGGGGGGGGGGCACGTCTACACAGACTGCCGGAGGTGGGGGAAGGGCTAGACAGATCCGGAGTTGGGCAAGTCTCCTTGTCTTAGCTGGTGTCCTGGAGGCGCTCACAGGCACACCACTGGTTGTGGGGGTTGGACACCTCCTCTGGTCTCCTCCGGGATGCTGAAGGGCTCATCTCTGCGGAGTATTTCAGGGGAGGTGACTGGCAGCCTGCAGGGCCAGCAGCAAGACTTTGAAGATCAAGTTGTACCAGTTCTTTAAGAACTTCATGTTCCCTGCCCCCGCCCCCCTCCCCGCCCCCCCAACTCCTATGTCCCTCTCTCCACCCTCACTTCCCTACCCACCCGGCTGTGTTTTCTTCCCATCAAGTCCAGTCTGTGTGGCCCATCTGCCACCCTTGGGAGTGCGGCCACATCCTTATAAAGAAACCCGACTCACTCCTGGCAGCTATCGAACGCCAAAGCTCCTCAGAGTGGTGGGATCTTGTGCCAACTCCCCCATCTCCACGCCGGGATTTTGTCTGGGTGGAGACCATACAGGTCTCGTGTATGCTGTCACAACCGCCACTGAGTTCTGTGCACAACTGTTCTCCCGTGTCTGGAAAACACCGTTTCCTTGGAGTTACCACCACTTCTGGCTCTTACAGTCTTCACACCCCCTTCCCCAAGGACCGTTGATGCGAGTGCATCTGTTCCGTACATTCCAGTCCAGGACAGCCCTCGACAGTTTCTTATTCTCTGGATGTATGTTGACCAGCTGCATTTTTTTTTTTTTTACAGTGTTGGCCAATGAGGTCCCATAGGCCCCCAAGCATTATAGGCAACTGTCTATCCTCTTGGTTACCATGTAGCACTTCATGTTAAGACACCACATGCCTGATCACACAATATGGAAAAAGCAAACTATACTCACCTGGAAGCTTCGTCCCAGCTGGCTGGCTTTCACTGTGCTACTTACTAGGAATGCTCCTGGAGGAGAAGAGTTCGTCACCCAGCTGTGAACCCTCCCAGCTACAGTAATGACTAGCCTGGTAAAATACACACCGGGGCAACAGTGGGAAGAGTATTATGGGAGTAGCCAACCGCTTTCTGATTGGCTCTAAGGGCCAGGCCATTAGACAGAACCCATGCCTGGCATTGCTAATAAGAGCCAAACACCTGTAGCTAGATAGCCCCCGGGGAGAGAACCTAATGTTATTCTGCTAAATAGACATAGTACTAAAACGACTCCCAATGACAGCTACACCCATCGATCAGAACATCTCTAAACCTTCAGAGCTGCTTCTTGCAGCAAAACAGTGTGTGTGTGTGTGTGTGTGTGTGTGTGTGTGTGTGTGTGTGTGTGTGT